CGCAAAAACTCAGGCACTGTCATATATCCAAAATCCAGATGGACGAACAACCAGGACTTTACATCGGAGCTTACAAAGGAAGAATAAACCCTAGTAAAATAAATTGTGTGTGTGTGTGGGGGGGGGGGCGCACAAACAGCATCCCAACCTGCACATTTCCCGACTCAAGACCCCTTCTTACGCTGGGTTAAAAATGTACATACAGGAAGTAACGACACCCCCACCCCATTATATCCCCCCCCCCCTACCCCCTGTAGGACTCCAGCCTTCCTGACACTCAAGGCGAATCTCTAGCGACCTTACAATAACGGATTAAATGCGAAAGCTAACAATAGCGCGGTAATTTAAAATGTCTACCCACTTCCGCTGTGTAAGGGAGCACATTCAAGTTGGCAACTAGACTTGATGAACTGTCCGTGCCAGGAGTGTATGTTTTAAAACTTTTAAAAAACAACACCCCAAAACGTTCTGTAAACGTTGTTTGTGATGTTTCGTAATCCAACACATTTTGAGCATTTAGTGAATTATAACGAATCTCGACCGTTACATTTGATTTGACTCAGATTGTAAGTTCATAAATATCCATTTCATGTCTCAATTATTATTATATTTATTTGCAAACAACCGAAACGTGAAACAATCACAATGCAAGTTAGTAGACTAGAAGTTACAACCCCTGGTCATCAACTACATATACAGCTGAATTGTTCTGGTCTGAATCAAGTTAGGGAGTTTAAATAGCTAGGAAGTATGATCGCGGAAATTGGTAGAATTGACAGAGAAATAGAAATTAGATGTCAGAAAGCAACTGCACCTACATACTAATTGTCACCATTATTTACCCTTTGGAGACGGAGCCTTTTTGGAGGGGATTCTCATAGTTTTGTTTATTCACACACTCACAAAATTATAAAAATTAAAACTTTTAATTAATATTTACAAAACTGTATATAGGCCATCCCCTGAATAACGGTCCAAAATTATCGCAGCCGAAAATATACCCTAACAGGGCCTCAGTCACATGTAAATTGTGGACTTCTGGAGACTACTGCGAGAGTATATCCCACACCACTACGCGCGGCATGGAGCGGGGCTAAACTAGATGGCTTGGACTTACGAGCAACAGCTGTTGCATCTCCTGCAGCTTCCTTCATTTTATTTGCTCGTTAGCCTCAGCCATCTAGTTTAGCCCATTCCACGCCACGCACAGCGGCGTGGGAGATACTCTCGGCTGTGCCGGTAGCCACCGGAAGTCCGCAATTTACATGTTACTGAAGCCCTGTTAGGGTATATTTTCGGCCTCAATAATTTGGGACCGTTATTCAGAGGATAGTCACTATAGATGTATTTGTGTAGGAAATTGAATGAACTAACAGAATATTTGTGAGTAAAACTGAAATCTCAACATTTATTCAATTAACTATTCTGATGTGCATAATTTATGAAAGCAATTTTTTTTAAACTTGGGAAAAAACATAACTATCCTGAAAAATGTTGGTGAATTTTTTTATGGATGAAGCTTGAATAAGTCCTAACACCTGTATTTTGGGAAGTAAGGCCCCTGGAGGCCCTTCAGACACGTCTGGCACATGGTTTAACTCATTTTCCTGCCTCCAGCTATGTTTCGGTTGTTGTGATGCACAGGTAACCACAGCAAAAAATCGATATAAAAATTCAGAACACATCAAATTTTCTCGAAAGCTGTCAATGAACAGCCCACATGCAAGAAATACGAGAAGCAGTCTGATTGGCTGGTATGAAAACCTGCCAGCCAATATCAAGGCTTCTATTATAATATAGGTCCTACTGGTTGGCCCATTGATTCTTTTTGATTACTGTGTGTTGGGCCTAAATTTTGGCAGCGTAGTTTCTAAAGGCTTAAGACATCCAAGCATAACTGAGTGCAAAGAGACAGATTATAAACACTAAAACAGCATATTCATTCCAACATTAATGCTACCAGTGCCAAACATGGACACTAATCTAAAGCCCATATATGCAAAATCACCACCTGCGAGATGAGATGTCTGAGAAAAACAGCCAACCTAATCATCCGACATCGAGTGAATAATGAAACTATCAGGCAAATTGTGGGAATGACACCTTTTACTAGATTCATTGAATATTTGATTTGATTCAAGAACCGACATCACAGCACTCGGGGCATTCCCATAAGCGCTCCGTCCCCATCTTCAGCAGCCAGCGAAGAGTTCCGATACTAATGGTGCCAGTAGCTTTTTGATTAAACGTCCGTCTTGCCTTTCCTCTGAGCCTTGAGCTTCTTCCAGAACCTCTCGTCACCCCCAACTGCATCAATCTCACCAGACTGTGGTGATCCATCTGCTCCTCCACATTGTGTGCGCTCTCCCACAAGGCACTAACCAAGTCTGCCCTATCATGTAGCAGTATTCCACCAAGTTGTGCAGAACCAGCCAGTCTATCTGCCTGTTCATTTCCCAGCACACCGGTGTGACCCGGTGAAAAAAATCCAGACAATACTCCTCACTCTTGTCCTCCGCAGCGAAGCATGCCACTCTGCACGAAGCATCCCTGTTCTGATCTTCCTCAGCATGCTTTCTGAATCAGTTACAATTACAATGTGTGTGTGTGTCGTGTTCTCTAGCCAGCGGAAAGCTGCAGTGACCGCCTCCACCTCCACTTCTTTTGCCTCTTGACACTCAACGGTCTGTGTAAATGATCAAATCCTCTGAGCGAGCATTATCTTGAACTAATTTCTGATTTTCCACCTCTGTGGCACCTGCTGACCAGTCTCTGCATTCCCGGCTCAGCGTGATTATGACTCTACACAAGTCTGACTGCTCAGGTGGCACTTTGACCCACTCATCTCCTCACCTAATGTTAAGGATGCAAACCTGTCTGATTGTGTCTTCATTCATCGAGTAACAGCAGATCAAGTGGTTTGGCCATCTCGTTAGAATGCAGTAAGATCAAATACCATCAGAAGCACTACATCTCAAAAGTTCAGCTATAAGAGCAAGAGGATGGCCACAGAAACAAAAGATTGACAACATTAAAGACACTCTACACCTTCACGGCTTGACAATAGCCAGTGGCAGCCAGCATACACTGGATCGCAAATTATTCCTCCCCTTGGCGTAATGGCAGAAGTGGTTTATGATGATGATGATGATGAATATTATTTTTCTTTAAAATAAATGATATTATTAATAATAACAAATATGCATAAGTAAAATGTATCACAGTACAGTCTTAAACATACCTCATGCACAGAGACAGTCAGCAAAATGATATTTAAAGCAGATAAAGATACTCTAAATTTTAAAGTTTAGATTTCTTTTGGGGAATTGTTAATTACATTCATTTTTTGGTTCATCATTTATAGTAAAACAAAAAAAAAGGTGTTTGCGCAGGGTGGGGGGGGGGGGGGGGGGGGGGGGGGGGGTTGAAGTGGACGTTGGAGCAAAATACCCTCCTGCTGTATTGAGAATACAAATGATTTCATTGCTGTATTCCACCTCCACCCCACTATCGTTTTGCTTCCGGACTGGAAACTTTTTTTATATACTTGTCCTGCAGTGTAATTGCAAGTTCAATTGATGATTCCAGGCCATTACCATTAACTCTACCTGTTTTCTATTTTTTTTAAAAAAGTTTGTAATAAATATTTTTGCTGAAAATACCATCCTGCAATAAAAATATTTATCTTTGAATTTATCAATTTATCCCCTTTCATAACCAGAAATGAAATAGCAGTCTGCATAAAAACCATTTCTCTGATAACCAATTTCTTTGTGTGTGTGTGTGTGTGTGTATACACTGTTCGGGATTCACCACCATACAAGCTAACTAACAGCAGTATAAACATATTTCTCTTATTTTCTCACTGAATATGCACAGCATATGTTTTCACTAAGGGAATGCTATTTTTACATAGATCATTCTGCATGAACAAAACTTTTGTTTTTGTGTTTAATTGCAGGCCTGTCTTCTCACTTTCTTGGTTATATATCCATCGGTTAGTGCAATTCTGTTAGATTTTTTGTTGCACCTGATGATAAAAAACAGTGTTGAATTGAAGCATAAAAATGGCATGTTTGTAATTATAAAAGTAAACAAGATAATAATGATGATAAAGAACAAGAAAATAATTAGAAGACTGTGTTATTAGACTAGATCATCACATAATGAATTGGTTATGCCACTTTCCTCACTCTCTGAAGGTCATAGGTTCATTTTAAGGTGGCACTGTTCAGTTCACAAGCGTAATTTTTAATGGGGATCCCATTGAGATAATCACTGGAGCTATGGAGTTGATACTTTGTGTGACACTTTTGGCGGGTATCTAGCCATTCTATGGAGGGAGGTGGAGATATATGGTGTAAATGTGGGTGCAGTGAAGTTGATCCTTGATGCTTCTAGGAAAATAAACACATTGATAATAGCTAAGAAGGTTCTGTTAGCCACTTTGTAGTAGTAGTGGCATCTGTTATAGACATTTTCTGGTGAGTAAAGGATCCTTTATCCCACCTTGAGGTGTATTGGGCATATAGGGCTAGATCTGTATTTTATAGACTAATCATCACTCAGTGGGTGATATACTCAGCATCACCCCAGCCACCTTTACTTCCCATGACTTTACCTGGTACACATTTAAGACTGGGTATACCTGGGAGCCTAGAGCATTTTTTTTAAAGTCCAGCTCCGTCAGGACCTGAACCTATGACCTTCAGGTCCGCATTTCTAGCTGCTACACCGCAGCTCTCTTTTTGACTTTTTCTAGTTAAAAAAAAACCTAAATAAAACCACAATGGAGAGAGGTGATAGACATAATTAATTGGAATGTTAACCTCCTTTAGTCATGAAATTATACCACACGTCCACTTTTTAGTGTAATGTTATCTCTGGGTACATTTGCATATTTGTTATATCTAGGCTGGTCCTGTCCTGCTTGTGGTGTGGTGCTTATATAACGTGACTGACCACTTCATCATCAAATCTAATAAACATAAATTAAATGGATGGCAAGACAATTCCAGCGTACCAAATGTCGATCCAGGTTGTTGATGGGAGGTCTGCTCCTTTGTTTCATTTGTGCAATGCTGATGGGCATTGCTCTCATTGTAGAAAGCGCGGGCCTTAGGAAAGGTAAGATTCTGTTTGGAAAATTGCACAGAGTTTCTAAAATACTTTTCATTTTATATTTAATGAAAATTTTTTTTATTCTTCTGGAATCCCACTGTCGGGGGAGAGGGTGATGAATAGACCCGCTGCCTCCCTAAGAAGCATGTCGTAAAAGTTAAGTAATTAGGGGTGTTTCCTTTGAAGTCAAGAGTTCTGCTGCCTGAGTGGCAATGGGAACCAACAGTATGTACATAAACAAATCAGATTGTAAAACAGATGTGCTCACAACTCCGTTTTTGGATCAAAACTAAAGTCTAAAAGTGGACAAACAACCAGAACTTTCCACCGGAGAATACAACCACTGAATGCCAAAAACAAAGAAAAGTGATTTTGGAAAAAACCAGTGATGAAATGGCCTTAGAGGGGGTAATGGGTGAGTTTGATGAAGTTTAAAGGCAAGAGGATCTGACTGAACACATGAGTTGTGCTGCACAAAGCAATGAATCATCGAAACTAGGGTAATATGATTCGACACTTTCAACCCAGTCTTAAGGCCGACAAACCGGAAGATAATGTTAATGATAATTGAGTAGTGTATTATGAAACACAATCTTTTTTAGTCCCAGATCATTTGTCACTGTTGGTTGGGGAGTGGGGAAATGTTGAGAATAACCCATATAAAACACTAGAAGTGCATTATTGTATTTGTAACTCTTTAATTACCAAACTGTTGTCACTATGACCTTTTTTAGAGGGACTTTCCTTGAATGTCAAAACATAAACAGTGGTTATATCAAAGAAGAAAACTCCTCTAAAAGTGCTTAACCAAGTCCATAAATTCAAGTATTTGAGAACATTTGTAAGATCAGATGGATGATGTGTTACAGAAATTAAGAGTAGAATTGGCCAGACAAAGACAGGATTTCAGAAGATGAAAAGTATCTTGTGTAATAAATCATCGTCATCAGAAAACGAGTACTGAAATCTTACATCTACCCTGTTCTGTTGTATGGCAGTGAATCTTGGAATGTGAGCAAACAAATTAAGAAGTTTAGAAGCAGCTGAAATGTGGTTCTTGAAAAGAATGTTGCGAAGACCTTAGACTGTCAAAATAACTCGCAATGATTGCTTAGAAATGGCTAATGAAAGTAGAACATTATAAAAAACAATGAGAAGGAGACAAAGTTCTTTGGTCATGTGATGAAAAAGGGAGCACTGGAGAATATTGTGATGACTGGAAACATCACCGGTAAAAGATGCAGAGGTAGACCAAGAGAAACGATGGTGGATGACTTAAGACAGTGGCATAGAGGCACATCATCAGTGGCATTGATCCAGAACATCAAAGATCGAGATCTGTGGAGATGCATGTATGCCTACGTCAGCTGGCAAGGCACTTGATGCTGATTTAATTAATAAAATAATGATTTTGCTTTGTCACTGTCACTTTCCCTGTCTAATACTTATAGTTTCCTGTATGACACATATGTTTGTAATGAGCAGCCGGTACGTTTCAGTATCTTTTCAGAAAAATGAAGTGCAGTCAAAGTCAACCGCAGATCACACTCTCTGTGTACTTGTGCCTTTTAGAAACAGATTTGAGGAGCTGTTGGAGTTTGCCCCCTACCTGCATACATTCTTAAACAAGCAAAATGTGAAACACAAACTTGTGGTCATTAACCAGATGGACAGTTACAGGTTATTAATTTTTTTCTTTCTACTAAGACTGCATTTTGTGATTGTAGTGCAGTCAGACTGATTGTGTGTTTAGAATAAACTGTTTCATCTTCATACAACTTTAGAAGTCAGCATTGTATTTGTCTTGTAATATATGTTCAAAGTGGGTTTTTTGATTCCTCATGTAGCAAAAGTGTAACTATTAGTTTACTTCTTTTTCTACTTTGTGTTCACCAGCTATACGCTGATGGAAAGTTCTGGTTGTTCGTCCACTTTATGACTGCAGTCCTGCTCCAGAACCTGAGTGTTGCATGTGCATCAGTTTTACAGATCTGATTCACTTGAATGCAGACTGTTGGTTCCTTGCCTCTCAGGCAGATGCACTCTGAATTCAAAGGAAGCTCCCCAATTAGTCTACTCTTACGACATGCTTTTGAGGAGGCAGTGGGTCTATTATTGTTTTACCCCACAATGGGGTCCCGGAACCCACACGGGGGTGGATATTAGTTTACTAAATCTGAATATTCTTCTTCTTCTTCGCGTTCACCAGCTGTACACTCTGGCGGAAAGTTCTGGTTGCTCGTCCACTAGTGAACTGCAGTCCTCCTCCAGAACCTGAGTGTTGCGTGTGCATCAGTTTTACATATCTCATTCTCTTGAATACAGACTGTTGGTTCCTTGCCTCTCCGGCAGATGCACTCCGACTTCAAAGTAGCTCCCCAGTTAGTCGACTCTTACGACATACTTTTGGGGAGGCAATGGGTCTATTCTTGTTTTCCCCACAATGGGGCCCCGGAACCCACACGGGGGTGCATATTCTTCTTCTCTGTATACCATCAGATTTAGCCTAAATATATTTAAAGACAGCAGCAGTAATTTGAAACTGTTGATATCGCCACAAAGTTTCTCCGCAGAAAGGTGCACTCCGACTTCAAAGTAGCTCCCCAATTAGTCGACTCTTACGACATGCTTTTGGGGAGGCAGTGGGTCTATTCTTGTTTTCCCCACAATGGGGCCCCGGAACCCACACGGGGGTGCAAATTCTTCTTCTTTGTATACCATCAGATTTAGCCTGAATATATTTAAAGACAGCAGCAGTAATTTGAAACTGTTGATATTGTCTCAAAGTTTCTCCGCAGAAAGGTTAAGATGTAGGGCAGAATCATTTCTGATGTTCTACAAGTACTGGACTACATTATCTTCTCCTTCACTTCTTCTATCACTTTGGATGTCGAGGGAGACATAAGATTCTGGTTTTTGCTGTTCTGGTCACCTCACCTGTAGACCATCATGCTGTTGCAGAGATTTTCTGATGTTATCTTTCCAGTTTATTCTTAGCCTACTCCATGATCTACCCCCCTCTCCTCTTTTGGTGATAGCCTTATATAGTGTGTGTCATAAAGCATTCTCTCAGTGTGCATAAACCATTTTATTTGCTGTCTTTACACTGTTGTTTACTCTTATGACTTCCTTTTTTGATTCTGTCTCATCTGATCACTCCTGTTTTATGGTTGTAGATGTTTGAATCATGTAACAAAGTCACTAAGGGTACTTGAACAGAAAATAACTAAAAGTGATATGTGCTGTCTCCGCAAGGTCACTATTTAACAACACTAGAGGAGACAGGATTATGAATACCTGCATTAGAGAGAAAGTCCATGTCCGGATTATATTGACCGACAAAGAATGAAATAGTTGGTCATCGAGCGAGAATGCAGCAAGACCAGACTGCATATGGACTTTCTACAGTAAAACATCTGGAAGGAAGGCGAGAGAAAGACCAAGAAAGAGATGGATAAATGGTGTAGCTGAAACCTGCAAAAAGATGAAAAAGTCGCCCAAATCACCCGAGAAGCGCAAGACAAATACAGAAAACCATGACACTGGGTTACAACCTGGTATCAGTGAGACGACAGAAGAAGAAGAACTAAGTCACAAAATGTGTGTTTGTAAGAAAAATATTTGTTTACTCAAATGCTCTTATGACTGTTGCACAGGTTCAACAGAGCCTCCCTGATTAATGCTGGATTCCTGGAGACCAGGTCACAGTGTGACTACATAGCCATGCATGATGTTGACCTGCTGCCTGTGAATGGAGCTTTGAGCTACGCTTTCCCAGAGATGGGGCCCTTCCATCTGGCAGCTCCTCATTTGCACCCCTTGTATCACTACAAGACATATGTTGGTGGCATTCTTCTGCTGCAGAGTCAGCATTTTGAAATGGTAATAGTTTTAGTCTCATGCTTTGGTTTGTAAAATGGCATCTTCATTGGATTGCTTCATAAGTACTTAAGTCTCCTTCCATAGATAGTGTAAGAAGGTACTTAACCATAGATTGTATAAGCTGTTCCTAATCATAGATTGTATAAGCTGTACTTAACCATAGATAGTATAAGCTGTTCTTAACTATAGATTGTATAAGCTGTTCTTAATCATAGATTGTATAAGCTGTTCTTAATCATAGATTGTATAAGCTGTACTTAACCATAGATAGTATAAGGTGTTCTTAACCGTAGATTGTATAAGCTGTACTTAACCATAGATTGTAAAAGCTATACTTAACCATAGATTGTATAAGCTGTTCTTAACCATAGATTGTATAAGCTGTTCTTAACCATAGATTGTATAAGCTGTACTTAACCATAGATGGTATAAGCTCTTCTTAACCATAGATTGTATAAGCTGTTCTTAATCATAGATTGTATAAGCTGTTCTTAATCATAGATTGTATAAGCTGTACTTAACCATAGATAGTATAAGCTGTTCTTAACCATAGATAGTATAAGCTGTTCTTAACCATAGATTGTATAAGCTGTTCTGAACCATAGATTGTATAAGCTGTTCTTAATCATAGATTGTATAAGCTGTTCCTAACCATAGATTGTATAAGCTGTACTTAACTATAGATAGTATAAGCTATTCTTAACCATAGATTGTATAAGCTGTTCTTAACCATAAATTGTTTTTGGAGTTCTAAACCATAGATTGTATAAAGAGATTCTCAGCCATTGATTATATAAGAGGTTCTTAACTATAGATAGTATTTTTTTTAAAATTATGCCATCCTTACAGTAGAGGTTAACTGCAGTGTTTAAAAAAAAAAAGGTTAAAGTTGACAGGATCGACTTCATTGCATTAGGATTTATCCCCTGTGGCTCGGTCTCTCTGCAGAATGGCTTGTCACCTGCCGAGAGCATTGCACAAAGCATGTACACTATAGCTGCAGCGATGATCCCTAGGGGTCTCCATAAAAATTACACCTGTGAACTGAACGCTGCAGAGTGAAACCACACCCTTCAGAGCACAAGGCAGATGGCTGCAGTGTATCTGTGGGAATATAATGTGGTAAGGCCCTAATCTTTTCCATGGTACATCTCTTGTACCACTGTCTGAAATTCACGAAAAGTCTTTTTAAACTGTATAAGTAGTTCTCAACCATAGATTTTATAAGGAAGCCTGACTCTCTCGGCAGCTAGCCATTCTGCAGACAGAGACTGAGCCATCTGGGATAAAAACCTAATGCAGTGAAAATCAGTCTTCTTGACATTAACTTTTAACCATAGATTTTCTAAGGAGGTTCTTAACCATAGATTGTATCAACTGTGTGTCACTGTAAACAGACCAGATATACTGGTGAGAGTCTTCATGTCTGTGCACCAGAACTACTACTTCTATTAAGCCATAATGTCTATGACCAAACATCAGATCAATGATACTAAGGTCAGATGCTGGCTGCTTTAAATTTCCCACAGAAATCACAGAAACACAGTTTTTAAGGTTGTGTCAGCTCCAGAGTCTAGCAAAAGACTCGCATAGAATGCTTTGTGAAAATTTAAACTGATTTTGAAAGCAAAGAGTAGCTTGCATCACTTGACAAGACTCAGATCAGGATCATATCATGGTTTTTCTGTCCAGGATATTCGGGTGTGCGCAGTAATGAACAAGCTTATAGATTGACTGCTGCCAATCCTCTGGATGGTGGACTGCTTTATGGTGAAGCGGACATGATGAAGGCTCTCTGGGATCAAATTAACAGTGCACTAAAACAGACAGAGAATTCATACCTTGAAGAAAAAAAACACAGGCAGACTCTCTAATCAGATTGCAACTGCAACTATTAGAATGTTGACTGTTCATTGGCCACTGAGGAGGGAGACGGAGCACTTATAGGAATGTCCCGATTACAGTTACATTAGTTCTTGATTTATTCATTCATTCGTTAAGAGTCTAGCACAAAATCCAGCTTTTGATGCTACAAGAAGTGAAATTCAGGGCTATTGCATTGATAACTATGAGTAAACTATTCAGTCCACTACCATGATTCCAACAATGAATGTGTGTGCCATATGTAATTGATTATGTTTTGGATTTCAGCTAAATGGCCTGTCAAACAAATACTGGGGTTGGGGAAGAGAGGATGATGAATTCTTTGTACGGATGAAAAAGGCAAAGTTAACAGTAAGTTTTTTTTCACTTGCTATTAAAAGATAAAAGTGCATTTTAGAGCTAATATAGCAGGTGTTTTTTTGTTAATTTGAATTAGAAGAAACTAACAAATGGTACATTTCTGTATTTTGAAATACTGCTGCTTATAAGAATGGCTTGAAAGTAGTTGGTGGCCATCTGCCTTCATTAATGTCAGTTTTGATTCAGCTTTTACTGAGGCACTTACACAGGTAGACATTGAGCACAACTGAAAATAAATAGGTCAAATCTGTGTGCCAGTTGTGTCTACACGCTTTTGTAAATTTAAATCAGCCTAAAGCAGACATGAAAGACATTGTTTTTGATTTCAATTACCAGCTTGGTCGGCCAGGTAATCTCACTACAGGATACAGGTCATTCCGGCATATACATGATCATTTCAAGCGGCCCCGAGACCAGAATAGATTCTTTGATCAGTTTGAGGTAAGTCTTATTTGAACCCTTTTACGTATATACTGGAAATCAGCATCTTTAAACATTAAAACAGGTAATTCAAAGACAACATATATTAGTATCAATTGAGTAATAAATGCATCAGTCATATGTAAATGTGGATTAGTACCTGAGACAACAGATAATGTCATACAAGACTGTCCCAAATACAACATATCAAGGCAAAACTTTTGGCCAAGAGAAACATCAGTGAAAGTCAAACTTTACGGGTCGCTGAGTGAATTACAAAAGACAGTCAAGTTCATACTAGAGACAACATTGCAGTAATGGATAATTTATTTCAAGCGAATGGAAGAAGAAGTATATATTGAAAATAACACTAATAATTATCAAATGCAGATGTAATTATTTCTGTAAAAATATTAATTTTCTTTGTTAAACTTTTTTGTTTTTCACTGTCAATTTTTGTTCAGTTGTTTTTTTTTTTAAATATTATAACTGAAAGGACACCTTTTGTGATTGACAATGTTATTAGGATTCTTTTCTTGCCAAGATAAATTTCATCTCAGTTTAAAAGTTTAACCCAAACCATGATTTGTGAACATGTGTATTGTTCCTAGTCGTATTTATTTATATCCGCCAGTACCACCCGATGTTCAATTGCCTTTCTCTAAAATTTATAATTATAACTTTTTCTAGCAGATTTGATGTACTTAAATGAAATGGTTTACTGTAGTTTATATTGTATTCTAAAGTGTATGCAACAGCAGAGATTACTTCATTAGGGAACTTTGTTATTTACTGAATGTCTTGTCTTATCCCTGTGTGGATTCCAGGGCGGCATGTGGGGGGGGGGGGGGGTATTGCCATTCGAAGGAGTGCAGTCTGAAAAAGGTTGAAAACCAGTGACCGAATGCATAGTTGTATGTATGGAAATCAGCTATTTTGTTGTGATGTAATTAACACTTTTTTGGGGGGTAAGGTTTGTGTCTACTGAACATTTTCAGAAAACCAGGCGAGTAGACAAGGAAACAGGTGTATCAACAGTTAAATACAAGGTGGATAGTGTGAAGGATTTGGTCATCAGTGGAGCTCCTGTGACTGTCATCAATGTCCTGCTGGTGTGTGATCTGAACCTCACCCCCTGGTGTCTTCAGGCAGAAGATCATGCTTGGTACAATAAATCAGTATTACATAAGAATGCACCCTCCACAAAAATAAAATCTATATCCACCGCCACAGCTACATGAGTAGGTTAACTACTTTTGTGTTTGTGTGTGGGGCATGGATTTGCTGGAGGACATACAAAAATCTTAATTTAAACATACTAAAAGTTTGTTTCGCAGCAGTTTGTTTATTTCTGAGCTTGGTGCAGGGCATAATACCTTTGATAATTGCAGTCACAAACACTCTTCTTTATATACTACCATTAATTGCATTCAGTTATCTCATTTGCATGATGCATTCTTAGCCTTTTCACCCTCCTTGGAGGCTGTGTCCTTGCATGTATGTTTACATGTGTAGGTAAGTGGGTTATCATTTGATGTAACTAGATATGTGAGTCTTGAGCACGCATTTGAGTTTTGACTAATTGATGCTTGAAATCATTATTAGATAATTCTAGTCTGTAGACCCTTTTGGTTGCTTTAGTCTGTTGTATGTGAATAATGTAAAACAGCACTACTGTCTGACTTTATGTTAATGTAAAACAGCACTACTGTCTGACTTTATGTTAATGTAAAACAGCACTACTGTCTGACTTTATGTTAATGTAACTACTGTTTGGCCTTATAATAATTAAAAACAACATTACTGTCTGGCCTTATTTTAATGTAAAACAGCACTACTGTCTGACCTGATATTAATGTAAAACAGCACTACTGTCTGCCCTCATATTAATGTAAAACAGCACTACTGTCTGGCCTTATATTGGAATAGCATATTTCAACACTAAAATGAGATTATTCTAGCTATAAAACAACTTTACACTGGTCTGAAATTATGGTAATGACAGTATCCACTACAGAGCTGCTTAGAAACCTAGACAGTCATAAAGCAGTTCTTCGGTAAAGAATGGAGATTCCATAACAGAGTCTACATAGAGGAGGGTTGCAGCATAAACAAACTGAACAGGAAAGAAAAATAATGTTTAGGCTTCAGACAGGACACTATGGTCTTTTGAGTCACAACTTTCAGGACATTCTGATATGTGCTGTTTCTCCATCTTCAGCAGCAAGCGCATGATTACAATTCTGTTGGGACCAGTAACAGTCTGATTGATGTCCGTTTCAACCCTTTCCCCCAAGTGTTTAGTGTCGACCAGATCCCATGGCCACTCCTCGCTGCACCATTCTCTTTTGACCGTGATGACCTGTTTGTGACCCTGCAATATTTACGGCTCCCAAAGGGCCCTTACAGCATCTAGCTTGTCACACATCAGTTTACCACCAAGTGGTGCAGAACCAATCTAACTGCCTGTTCATTTCCCAGCACACCAACTGTGTGTGTCACAGCGGCACCATGTTTTCTTAGAGTTACACTTACATAAAGCAGGAGTAAAAGAATCAGCCGCTTGTTAATGTGGAAGAGACAGACAGACAGACTGCTGAGCATGTACTTCAGAATTGTCCTAACTACTACTGTCAGAGGTTAGGGATGTGGCCCAGCGGAGCTGCATTACAAGAGAAGCTGTGGGGGAACCAGGAATGACCTTAGATGCACCTTCTTACTTTATAGGACTAAATTCACAATTTTACACGGGTGATAGGGGTTTGATTCCCCGCTAGGTGATATAATTTTTTTGGGGCCCCTAACTGGGTGGCTGCCACGTTTTGTTGTGGTTTATAGCTAGGCTGCAATATCTAGGCTTTTTTTTCCGTTCAATTTTGGAGTTTACAGCTAGCCTGCGATAGCGGCGACGTGATGCTCAATGTTCATGTCAGGAGTAATATTCGTTCGCCCTTGACAGGGCAGTTGGCACGTTGTGTTGTGGTATTCAGCTAGGCTGCGATATCTGACCTAAAGTCTTCAGTCTTCGGTTGTAGATTTGTGTGTATTTTGCCCTTAATGTGGATGACCGGTGTTCGATTCCCCGCTAGGTGTTAATTTTTCTTTTTCCCCTAAAGGGGGAACAGGTTTACAGCTAAGTTGCGACATCTGCGCCTTATGTCCAGTGCCAACTCCTCTGGCTACAACGACCTGTACAGACAGTAGTGACCGTTTTGTGTTGTTGTTGTGACGGTAATGGTAGCAGTAGTACTGGTACTCGATGGGTTATGTGGTAGCTGTTACACTGGCCACATTTACTTCTCAGTACAGATTAATGCTACCCATTTTTGTCTGGGTGGACACGGATGCCAAGCTCAATTTAACAACAATATTTTGTCAGGCGATGACTTTCCCATTCTTCGTAGAGGATTGTTTTACAGTTCTCATTTCTTAACTATTTCTATTTTAACAATGTCGCCACATAATAATGTTTCAATCATTCGGAGAGGGAGATAAAATTCGTCAGATGCTTAAGTCCTTGGTAGTGTAGTTGTATATTTTGCATGTTACACGGGTGACTGGCGATCAATGCCCCGCTGGGTGATTAAATACATTTTTTCCCCCTCAACTAAGCGGCTGGCACGTTGTGTTGTGGTTTATAGCTACGTCTTTTTTCAGCTCGGTTTGGGGGTTTACAGCTAGCCTGCGATAGTGGCGGCGTTATGTTGGTCATGTCACGGATAATCTTCGTTCGCCCTTGAGAGGGCGGTTGGCACGTTGTGTTGTGGTTTGCAGCTAGGCTGCAATATCTGACCCAAACTCTTCAGTCTTAGGTAGTATAGTTGTACGTAATCCGCCCTTCACGTTGTTGAACGGTGTTCGATTACCCACTGGGTGCTAATTTGTCTTTTTCCCTCAAGAGGGCTGTTGGCATGTTGTGTTGTGGTTTACAGCTAGGCTGCGATATCTGCACCTTTTGCGCAAAGACATCCAATTTCAGTAAAGTCCCATTTATCCTTCCTGCGACGCTTCACTCGATCATAAACTATTCGTTGATGACAGAAGCTGTTAACTAAGACTGCTTACGGTCCAGTTTACTTTGGGTGGACACGGATGCCAAGGTCATTTAACATTCGTCCCTTCGGAGAGGGGAGATGACGGGTGGGGGTTTTTATTTCCGCTATTTGTGAGTATTACTGTGGGTTCCATCACTGGTAATGGGGTTTTTTTTCTTTTTCTTTGTTGGGATCTCAATTACACTAAACAGTCCGTGGCGACAACATGCAGCGCTAACTCCTCTGGCTAACTCCTCTGCACAGACAGTAATGACTGCTTTTTTTTTTGGTTTTGTTCTGAGGGTGGTAGTGGTAGCAGTAGTACTGGTACTGGATGGGTGATGTGGTAGCTGTTACACTGGCCACATTTACTTCTCATTACACATTAATGTTATCCGTCTCTGGGTGGACATGGATGCAAAGTTCAATTTAGTTACAATATTTTGTCAGATGACTTTCCCATCCTTCTGCGAGGATATGATTAGTGGGGGAAAGGGGGTTGATGGCAGACACTGTTAGCTGAGAGAGCTAAAAACATTATTTTAAAGTTATAATTTCTTAACTATTTCTATTTTAATAATTTTGCCAAGTGATGATTTTTTATTCCTTCGGAGATGGACATATTATTGGGAAAGGGGGGGGGGGGTTATGCCAGACACTGTTAGCTCAGAGAGCTTAAATCATTATTCTCATTTCTTAACTATTTCTATTTTAATACTTTCGCCAGGGATGATTTTTCATCCTTCAGAGAGGGAGACATGACTGGGTGGACAGGAGAGGGAGGTGGGGTGAGGGTTATGACAGACACTGTTAGCTGAGAGCTACTTTCTTTCTTTTCCATTTCACCATTCGGGGCTACAGCAACGCGTGGCAGGGCACAGCTAGTATGTCATATTTCACATCCTGTGGTATTCCTTACAGATGCAAGAACAGTACTTCAGGTACTAGAATCTTGAAAATTACCTGGTATACGGAAACTATTCTCCGAACTAGGCACCTGGTGTAAGGTAACTATGCAGGGGATATCATCTCACAGGAGTTCCCGAAAATGAGAAAGTTAATAAACTAGCTAAGGAAGGTGCAAATGAAGAACTACCCGAGGTAACAGTCTCTTAACAGTAAAAGAGAAAATCAAATCAATCAGAAAGCCACAAAAACTGGCACAAGACGATTACCATATTATGGTCAGACCAAAGCAAGTCATTATTCTACGCCTTAGAACAGGACACAGTTGACTTCGCAGCCACACATACACTCAATTTAAGATTGTCAAATCAGCCATGTGCTTATGTGGATTGGCACCTGAGACAACATATCACGTCCTTTAAGACTGTCCCAAATACAACATATCCAGTCAAAACCTTTGAACAAGAAAAACATTGGTGCAAGTCAAACTTGACGGGTCACTGAGTAAATTACAAAAGACAGTAAAGTTCATACTAGAAACAATAATGAAGATAAAGATAATCTATTTCAAGTGAACGAAAAAAGAAGAAGAAGAAAAAACTGTCATTCTATTCATAATTATTTTCAATAGATATTGACCTAAACATATTTGGTCATACTACAGGAATACTGTACATTTAATTTATCTTTAACCAATCATTATGGTAGAGTGCAGATTTTGGAATTACAAAATGTGAAAATAAAATTAAAGAGAAGTCTAGTTTTTCTGAAGAATTACAAAGATGAAGGATGAATATCCTGAACTAATGTTAAAAGAATGAACATGCATTGCTGTTATCACACTTGTATGTATTGTTAAATCAAATACTTGGCTGCAAGCGGATTTAGGGACTGGACATCGTCAGTTTTGATGTGTAAATTATTCTTGCATTTATTATTGTACCTCCACCAACTATATGTGAAGGGTTGAAATTAATTGTTTGTATGTGAGAGACACAATAGAATAATTTCCACATTGAATTCAGAACTTATTGTGCTTATCTGTTTAAACATTATCCTCATGACTCACAGTGAGGGTTATGATAAAACAGAATAGACCCCTCCCCCCATCCTTTTCCCCTAAGCTTGTAAAAGTCAGCTAATTAGGAGCATTTCCTTTAACGTTTGAGTTCATCTACTGGAAGGTGAGGAACCAGCAGTCTTCATACTAGTCAGCTAGATCTGTATGTGCACGCAAAACCCAAGTTCTAGTACAAGACTAAAGTCCAGAAATGGATAAAGAACCAGGATTTTATGCCGGA